CGTACATTGCAGAGCACATTCCCTCACTCATGATGAAGAATTATCTGGCCTCAAATGTCCATTAAGCCCAGGCTGAGAAATCTTGCTCTAGAGAGTATATCAAACATTCTTAGGGGATATCGAGACACCTCCCTCCCACCCCTCAGATGGGAAATATGCCAAAGGAGAATAAATATAAATCATGGAAAAATCCATACATTTTCACCTTGATTCATCCAACCAATTATTTATTCAGCAAACTTTTACTAAACACCTATTTCATGCTAAGTACCATTCCAGTTACTGGGAATACCACTCATCAGAAATAAAGTCAATTAAGTAAACAGCCCGTTAAAAAGTTGTACTAGATTAGTTAGGAATGAGTTCAGCCCCATGCAACACATTAATAAAATAGGAATTTAACAGAAACATGTCCATGTAAAAAGAAATACGGCCAGGAGTGATTGAACGTGCCTATAGTCCCAGCTACTTGGGAGGCTGAGGTGGGAAGATGGCTTGAGCCTGGGAGTTAGAGGCTGCAGTCAGCTATGAGTATACCACTGCAGTCTAGCCTGGGTGACAGAACAAGAATCTATCTCAATAAAAATAAAAACAAATAAAAATTATTTTTAAAAAAGAGAGAGAGAGAGAGAAATCCAAGGGTAGACAGTCCTAGACAGTTAAGGTAGCTTCTTGTTGTTGCTAAGACAAGAGGCCCCTTCCATTTTCCTGCTCTGCCATCCTTGATGTTTGCCCTCATTTCTGATTTCAAAAGATGTCTGCTGCTTCTTAAGGCTCAAACCTAAATTCCAATGGGCAGAGGAGACAATGTGAAGAACAAAGGCAAAACAATGTATGAACTAGTTAAGCCTGCTTCTGCTTTAAATGGAGACAATGACTTTCTGGAAATTTGACCCAGTAGGCTTCCATTACATCTCATTGACTCTAATTGGGCCATATGACCACACATAGCTGCAAGGGAGTCCGGGAAGGTCAGTATTTTTTTTAACTGAGCACATTGTTACTCTGAGAAAAATCAGGGCTCTGCTAATAAGGAAAAAATGTAGAATGAGTGTTGGGAAGGGAATTAGCAGCGCCTGCTGTAAGTGTGGTAAGTGCAAGAAAGCAGGATGTAGGAAATACTAAAGGAGCACTTAAGTTTGTAACACACCCTTGAACAATCAGGGGAGGTTGAAAAAATGAGGAAGAGTTACCCTATCTATGTGTATGCAGGGGTGTGTAGGGGTGTGTGTGTGTGTGTGTGTGTGTGTGTGTGTATGTGTGTTTGAGACCAGTGCGATGGGTGTGAGGTTAGTGCCAAGGTGATCCAAGCAGGGGGAGCCACATGTACAAAAGGCTGGAATGGGAGAGCAAGGAATAGTGAAAGATGACATTAGATGGGCAGGTAGGGTGGTGCAGGCCCTACTGTTGAGTTTGGCTATTATCCTGAGGGCAATGAGGGCCTTTTATAGGTTTAGAGCAAGGAAATACACCATCCTAACATCTAGTTTAAAAGATCACTCCAATTACAACATGGAGTACCCACTGTACAAGGGGCAAGACAGCACAAGGAGGCCAGGACAGTGACCCTGAAGACAGAAAGATTGGGTGTTCATCTTTGTAAAATATAAGCATGCTTCCCCATCCTCAGCCATTCCACAGGGTGACAGTTGGAAAGCTTTGTCAGACACAGAGAATGTGCTACCTAAATGTGCTATATGGAAGAGTTATAGAAAATCCCATGGAGATATGTTCTCGAATCATGCAGTGACCCATTTTCTTCAGTCCTTGAAGATATAACTTTTTTGAGCTAGAGTTTTTTTTCCCAGAAATCCATCATTTAACTGTTGACCACTCATCCCAGTGGGCAAGGTTCGTTCATTATAAGGTCAAATGACTCCTACCTGTCCCCAAGCGTCTGCCGACTTTGACTGTATTTCTTCAAGAATTTCCCTGCAAGCACATCAACCATTCTTAACTAAATGCAAGTCTTGCATCTACATCTAACTGGAGGCTCTCTCACTGATTCTCTGGAGTAAGCCCCATACTATCACTGTGTGCCTCTGATACCATTATGAGTCACAACTCTTCTCAATAATATGCAATGGTAGAAAGAGAGACTGTGGATGAATAAACATAGCTTGCTGAACACACTGAACTCAAAATAACACGGGAGAATACTCATGGAACGAAAGCTTTTACTGTATGATACACACAGCAACAACACTTATCAGGAAATCATATACTACTACCTGCCAAACACTGTTGGATGACAGCATGTGATACAGCATGCAGATTATAAGGAAGAATGTAATTATAGTCTAACAATATACTATGAAGGAAGGCTATATATTAATATATTTTTAAAATACTTCCCAAAAGTAGCCCTATAAAAATATGAGCTTATGGGCAAATAACAGGGCATATTCCTAAAGAAATGTGCTTATTCATCAGGAGATCTTTGGACCAGTAATATGCCACAAAGATAAATGATTGGGAAAATGGCTTCATGGTATAGCTCTCAGTATGTACAAACTACAGGTCCAAAGTAAAATTAAGAAATGTATTACAAATACTCATTTTGCAAAGCGTCCCTCATATCTGAGCATAGAGTAAAGATGTTCAGAAATCCAAACACTGGAGCATTTACCTGAATTGCTGAATAATTCAACATCCAAAATATTCAAAATATTGAATTATTTTAAAAGTTTCATTAAACAATACAGGTAGAATGCGCCATTGCACTCCAGCCTGGGCAACAAGAATGAAACTCCATCTCAAAAAATTCAATATTTTATGATTTAATATTTTTACAAACAGCCTTATTGAAATATAATTTACATACCATAAAACCAATTCATTACCCCCACAAGTTCCCCCATTTCTATGTGCATTTAATATTTTCTTCCCCAGACCCAGGCAACCACTGTTCTCTACTAAATGTGTCTTTTCTGAACACTACATATGAATAGAATTGTACAACATCTGATCTTTTGCATCTGGTTTCCTTCACTTAGCAAATGTGTTTGAGGATTATTCCTGTTGTAGAATGTACAGGCTCCTTTTAGTTTCTCAGTAGTATCCCATTGCATGGATATACCACATTTCACTTATCCATTTACCCAGATGGACACTCGAATTTTTCTTGTTTGGGGCTGTTATGAATAATGCTGTTACATATACATGATTTTGTGTGGACATATGTTTTCATTCCTTTTGAGTATATTCCTATGAGTAGAATTGCTGGGTGATATAGTAAATTATTTTCAACTTTTTAAGACATTCCCAAACTATGTTCCCAAGAGGATTTACCATTCTACATTCCCATCAGCAGTGTATGATACTTTAGTTTCTCCACATATTGCTAACATTTAGCATTGTCTGACTTTTTGATTGTAGCCATTCTAGGGATGTGTTTTAATTTGAATTTTGATGATGATTAAGATGTTGAACATCTTTTTATGTTTTTTTGACATTTATCTATTTTTCTTTGTTGACTATGCATTCAAATTGTTTTCCATTTGTTGTCTTATTATTGAATAGAATTCTTCATATATTTTGCATACAAGTCCTTTATCGGATGTGTGATTCATGAACATTTTATCTCAGTCTGTGGCTTGTCTTTTCATTTTCCTAATGGTGTCCTCTGAAACACAAATGTTTTTCATTTTGATTAAACTCCATTCATGAATTTCTTTTGGCAGTTGTGTACTTTGTTTTATATTTAAAACATTGTTTTGTTTTTTTTAAAAATCTAGCTTGACAGTCTCTGCTTCTTTATTAGGAATTTAGATCATTCCTAGTTAAAGTGAATTACTGATATGGCTAGTTTTACATTTGCCACCGTATTTGTTTTGTGTATGTTTATTTTTTCATTCCTCTGGTTTTCCTTGACAGCCGTCTCTTGAACTAAATAAATGCTTTCTCATGTATCATTTTAATTCCTCTGTTAACTATTTCAATTTTTTTGTTATCTTCTTAGTGGCTGCTCTAGAGATTACAACATGAATCTTAATTTATTGCAATCTACTTCAGATTAATATAACCTAATTTTTTTTCTTTTTATTTTTCTTTTTTTTTTTTTTTTTTTTTTTTGAGACAGAGTCTTGCTCTGTCACACATGCTGTAATTCAATGGCGTGATCCCGACTCACTGCAACCTCCACCTCCCGAGTTCAAGCAATCTTCCTGCCTCAGCCTCCCAAGTAATTGGGACTATAGGCACATGCCACCACGCATGGCTAATTTTTTGTATTTTTAGTAGAGACAGGGTTTCACCATGTTAGCCAGGATGGTCTCAATCTCCTGACTTTGTGATCTGCCTGCCTTGGCCTCCCAGAGTGCTAGGATTACAGGTGTGCGCCACCACAGCTGGCCCAATACAACCTAATTCTAATAAAATATATAAACTTTGCTCCAGCATAATAGCTTCATTTCCTTCTCCTTGTGTGTGTTCAAATTACTGTTTTATCCTGATTTCAAAGAGATTAAGAGAACATATAAAATACATATAAATATTTATATTTGTAAAGTTTCTTATTTTAGTATATATATATCATTTCTGGTGCTTTACATGTCTTCTTCGGATTCAAGTTATGTCTAATGTCCTGTTCTATCAACCTGAAGGATAACTTTAGTATTTATTGACAGTTGGTTCTGCTAACAATAAATTCTCTTAACCTTTTTTATTTAGGAATGTCTTTATTGCCTTTATTTTTGAAGGGTAGTTTTTCTGGATATAGATTCTTGGATTTACAGTGGGGTATTTTTTCTTTCCTTTTAGCACTCTGACTATGCCATTCCCCTGCCTTTTGGCTACCATTGTTTCAGATGAGATGCCAGCCATCAATCACCTTGGTGTTCCCATGAATGTAATAAGTCATTTTCCTCTTGTTATTCTTAAGTTTTTTTTGCCTTTCACTTTCAAGAGTTTAGTTGTACTGTGTCTGGATGACAATCTTGTCTTTATTCTGTTTGGGATTTGTTATCAGGTTAGATGTGAATTTTTAAAATCAAATTTGGGTGCTTACTTCAGTAGCACATACACTAAAATTTGGAACAATATAGGGAAGATTAGCATGGCTCTTATGCAAGGATGACACACAAATTTGTGAAGTATTCCCTATTCTCCTGAGGTAGGAGAATCCTTGATCCCAGAAGGCAGAGGTTACAGTGAGCCAAGATCATGCCAGTGGACTCCAATCTGAGTGATAGAGTGAGACTCTCAAAAAAGAAAGAAAGAAAGAAAGAGAGAGAGAAAGAGAGAAAGAAAGAAGAAAGAAAGGGAAAGAGAAAGAGAGAAATAAAAAGAAAGAAAGAAAGAAAGAAAGAAAGAAAGAAAGAAAGAAAGAAAGAAAGAAAGAAAGAAAGAAGGATGCAGACTACAGACCAATATCTCTGATGACTATTGATGCAGAAATCCTCAACAAAATACTAGGTAACTGTATTCAATGATACATTAGAAAGATCATTCAGGGCCAGGCTCAGTGGCTCACACCTGTAATCTCAGCATTTTGGGAGGCCAAGGTGGGTGGATCGCCTGAGTTCAGGAGTTCAAGACCAGCCTGGCCAACTTGGTGAAACCCTGTCTCTTCTAAAAATGCAAAAATTATCTGGGTGTGGTGGCAGGCACCTGTAATCCCAGCTACTCAGGAGGCTGAAGTAGGAAAACTGCTTGAACCTGGGAGGTGGAGGTTGCAGTGAGCAGAGATTGGGCCACTGCACTCCAGCCTGGGTGACAGAGTGAGACTTCATCTCAAAAAGAAAAGAAAACAAAAAGATCATTCATCGGCTAGGCTCATGCCTGTAATCCCAGTACTTTGGGAGACGGAGATGGGTGGATCACCTGAGGTCGGGTGTTTGAGACTAGCCTGACCAACATGGAGAAACCCCATCTCTACTAAAAATATAAAATTAGCCGGGGTGTGGTGGGACATGCCTGTAATCTTAGCTACTTGGGAGGCTGAGGCAGAAATACTTGAACCCGGGAGGCGGAGGTTGTGGTGAGCTGACACTGCACTGTTGCACTCCAATCTGGGCAACAAGAGCAAAACTCCATCTCAAAAAAGAAAGAGAAAGAAAGAGAGAGAAAGAGAGAGAAAGAAAGAAAGGAAGGAAGGAAGGAAGGAAGGAAGGAAGGAAGGAAGGAAGGAAGGAAGGAAGGAAGGAAGGAAGGAAGAAAAGAAAGAAAGAAAGAAAAAAAGAAAGAAAAAAGAAAGAAAGAAAGAAAGAAAGAAAGAAAGAAAGAAAGAAAGAAAGAAAGAAAGAAAGAAAGAAAGAGAGAGAGATCGTTCATCAAGACCAAGTGGAATTTATCCCTGGGATGCAAGGAGGGTGGTTCAACATGCCAAAATCAATCAATGTGATAAATTATATCAAGAAAATGAAGACTAAAAACCATGTGATGATTTCAATTGATGCTGAAAAGGCACTTGATAAAAATTCAACATCCCTTCCTGATAAAAACCCTCAAAAAACTGGGGATAAAAGAAACATGCCTCAACATAATCAAAGCCATATATGACAGACCTCACAGCTAGTATCATACTGAATGGGGAAAAACTGAAAGTCTTTCCTTTAAGATCTGGAGCATGGCAAGGATGCCCACTCTCACCATTGTTATTCAACATAGTACTGATAGTCTGAGCTAGAGCAATGAGACAAGAGAAGGACATAAAGGGCATCCAAACTGGAAATGAAGATGTAAAATTACCCATGTCTGTAGATGATATAATCTTCTATTTGGAAAAACCTAAAGACACCACAGAAAATCTACTAGAACTGTTAAACAGATTTAGTAAAATTGCAGGATACAAAGTCAACCTACAAAAATCAGTAGCGCTTGTATATACCAGCAGTGAACAATGTGAAGAAGAAATTTAAAAAGTAATCCCATTTACAATAGCCACACATAAAATTAAATACCTAAAACATCTCTATAGTGAAAACTACATTGATGAAAGAATTGAAGAGGACACTAAAAACTAAAAAAAAAATTCCAAGTTCATGGATTGGAAGAATCAATAGCTAAGATTTGAAAGCAACCCAAGTGTTCATCAACAGATGAGTGGATAAATGAAACATGGTACATGTACATAATAGTACATCTACTATTCAGCCATAAAAAGAGTGAGATCTAGTCATTTGCAACCACATGGATGGGAATGGAGATCATTATATCAAGTGAAGTAAGCCAAGCACAGAAAAACAAACATTGTATGTTATTTATTTATTTGCGGGACCTAAAATCAAAACAGCTGAACTCACGGACATAAAGAATAGAAGGATGGTTGTTACCAGAGGCTGGGAAGGGTAGTGCAAGGCTGGAGCAAGAGGTGGGGATGGTTAACGGGTGGAGAAAAAAAAAAAAAAGAAAAAAATACTATTTGATGGTCCAATAGGCTGACTAGAGTCAATAATAATTTAATTGGTCAGGAATGGTTGCTCATGCCTGTAATCCCAGTACTTTGGGAGGCCAAGGCAGGCAGATCTCTTGAGCCCAGGAGTTCAAGACCAACCTGGCCAACATGGAGAAACCTCATCTCTTCAAAAACTACAAAAAGTAGTAGGGTGTGGTGGCATGTGCCTGTGGTCTCAGCTACTTGAGAAGCTGAGATGGGAGGATCACTTGAGCCTGGGTGACAGAGGTTACAGTGAACCAAAATTTACCACTACCCTTCAGCTTGCATGACAGAGCAAAACCATGCCTCATAATAATAAAATAATAACTTAAATGTATATTTTTAAATAACTTAAAGAATTTAATTGAATTGTTTGTAACTCAAAGGATAAATGCTTGGAAGGATGCATACCCCATCTTCCATGATGTGCTTATTTCACTTTGCATGCCTGTATCAAAACATTTCATGTACCCATAAACATCTACTATGTACCCACAAAAATTTTTAAAATAAAAAAATCAATTTTGGCAAGTTTTCAGTCATGACTCATTCAAGTATCTCTTCTAATCCCTTCTCTATATTCTTTATTTTCGGACTTTCATTAATTTCATTCTAAATATATGTCAGTGTATTTAATTCCATGTTCTCTGAGGCTCTGTTTATATTTTCTTCATTCTTGTTTTCTCTCATTAGATAATTTTTATTGATCTACTTTTAAGTTCACTGATTCTTTCTTCTGACATCTTGGATCTGCTGTTGAGCCCCTCTAATCAATTATTCATTTTATTTAGTTCACTCAACTTGAGAATTTCCATGTGGCTCTTTTTGGTAATTTCTATCCCATGATTGGGAGTCCCTATTTGTGGAATCATTGCTGTCATATTTTCCTTTAATTCTTTAAACATGGTCTCCTTTAGTTCTCTGAATGTATTTATAATGGCTTCTTTGAAATTTTTGAATGCTAAATCTAACCTCTGGGGACACTGAGAGACAGTTTTCTATTAACTATGTTTCCTTCCAAAAATACCTTCCCGTTTCTTCACATGTCTCATAATATTTTGTTAAAAGGTGACCATTTTAGATAACAGGTGGTAACAACTCTGGATTCTGATTTTCCCCGTCTGATGTAGTGCAGTGGTGCAAGCTCAGCTCACTGCAACCTCTGCCTTTGAGGTTCAAGCAATTCTCCTGCCTCAGCCTCCTAAATATCTGGGAATACAGATGAGCAACACCATGCCCAGCTAAATTTTGTATTCTTTTTTAGTAGAGACAGGGTTTCACCATGTTGACCAGATGGTCTCAACCTCCTAACCTCATGACCCACCCGCCTCGGCCTCCCAAAGTGCTGGGATTACAGGCATGAGCCACCTCACCCAGCCTATTGTTGCTGTTTTGTCTGTTTTAGTTACTTAGAAACTTTCCTTGGATAAATCTGTGGATCTGTCTCCTGCACAGTATATAGTCACTGATGTCTTTGCTCAGGTTTCTGAGTTGCTCCTATATGAGCATAGCCTAGTAGTCAGCTAATAATTGGAAAGAGATTGTGCTCAAATGTCTGAAACAATACATCTACTATCCTCTGATTATGGTAGAGTAAGAGTCGACATTCAATGTTTAGGCTATTCTCAAATCTGTTCCTACTTTTGCTTCCTGCTAGGCCTTTTTGAGTCTGTGGATGTGTGCAAAGTTTCAGGGGTGGCAAGGAGTCTGTGAATAGCTTAGGCTCTCTCCTGTTTCTGCTGTGAATATGCACAGCCTCAGCCATGAACATCTTACCCTGAATATGAATGAAAACTCAGGCTAGTAGAGCTACTGGCCCTCTCCCACTTGCTGGCCACCAAGTCATCACTTTTACAAATAATACCACGATATCACCCAGTGTTCCACATCAAGCAGGCCTCTGTGATGGCCAGTTTTATGTGTCAATTTGACTTGGTCATGGGATACCCAGATATCTGGCAAAATATTACTTCAAGGTATGTCTATGAGGGTGTTTCTGGGAAAGATTAGCATCTGAATTGGTGAAGTGAGTAGAGGAAATAACTCTCCCCAAAGTAGTGGGTGTCATCCAATCCACCAAGGGCCTGAATAGAACAAAAAGGCAAAAGAAGATTGTATTTTACTCTATCTGACAGCTTGAGCTGAGACATCATTTTCTCCTGCCCACAGTGCTCCTCGTTCTCAGACCTTCAGATGCTAACTGGTATCTACACCATTCAGCCATGGCTCTCAGGACTTCAAGTTGTATCACTGACTTCCTGGGTCTGGAGCTTGCAGATAGCAAATCATAGAACTTCCTAACCTCTATACTTGTGTAAGCCAGCTCCTTATCATAAATCTCATTCTAGATATATACTGATAACCAAATATACAAAAATAACCAATAGAATATGGCTGTGTGTGTGTCTGTTCCTCTGAAATGCTAACTTACACAGCTTCCCTTCGACTGTAGCAGCACATGCCAACCCAACTGAGCAGAGAAGGGGAGCAACTCTAGTCCAGATCAGAACACCACAGACTTCCACTGTTCCTACCTGAATTTCAGCAGTTGTCTAAGCATGAATGCTTCCCAGATTGTTGTATGCCATTCATTAACTTCCAGAACACTGAAGAGGTTGTTTTTGTCAATTTTTTCCCAGCTTTATAGATGCTTTTTGTAGAAAAGAATTAACTGACTTCCTGAAAGTCCTGCCAATAATTCAATTTTAAAATTGTGCCATTATAATTTGC